CCCCTCCCGCGTCTCTTCCCCCCGGGAACAGATCCGGATGCGCAGAGCCCGAGGCCCAGCAACATCGCAGAGCTGAGTCCCGGGGCCATCAACTCAGGCCGCGGCGAGTACCAGGCGGCCTTCAACAGCATGATGATGGAGCGCATGAGCACGGACGTCCACGCGCTGAAGCGGCAGTACTCGCGCCTCAAAAGGAAGCAGCAGCAGCAGGCCCACCAGGTGTACATCCGGGCAGGTGATGCCTTCTGTGTTGGAGTCCGTCTGGGCTGCGGCCCGCTCGCCAAGCGCCCACGCCATGCTGGGCGGGCCTCGGTCGGCCGGGACGCTCAGCGCTCCCAAGCCCAGCTGGCGGGCCGGCGGCGTCTCTCACCTCGCCTTTTGTGTTGTGTTTTACCAGGCACCAAAGAAGAGAAAGACCGTGGTCCCAGAGACCAGGCGGTGGATGGTACTAAACGTGTCTCTGCCACGTGCCTGGGTGGAGAAGGGTTCACACCACGAGGAGGAGGTGGCAAGGCAGGCAATCCTTGGACTTGAGGAATTCGGGCGCGGTCGCCGCCGACCTGTTGCACATTTGGAAAGCAGATGGAGTCATCTGCGCGCTGCGAGATTAATCTCCATGCTAGTCATTTAGGCAGAATTATAACGTGGTGATCGGAGAAAATGGAAAAAAACCCACAAACCATGAAAAAGCTTGTGCCTTTCTGCTGGGTTAGCAATCCCTTGGGATGTGCTGGTCAGAACACAGTTACATGTGATTGGAAGTGCTCTTTTCCAAGGATTGTCAAGCTTCTTTTTTCAGTTCCCCTAATCCCAGTGCACAGTCTGCTTTCTTGTTTGATCCATGCTGATTTGGGAGTTGGGTTTTTCTTGTTGTTCCGAGTGAAATCCTAATGAAAATAATGCCTGTCCAGAATTAACGGAGGTACAAATCTGACATGTTTCTAAATGGCTTCTGTTCATGTGACTGATCTTGACAAAAACTGAATTACCTTCCCCTCCTCTGGGGGCAGTAGGAGACTTCTTGATGATTCTCTGTATCCTGAATCATTAAGAAAGCAATCACTGGCCGGGCACGATGGCTCACGCCTGTCATCCCAGCACTTTGGGAGGCAGAGGTGAGAGGATTGTCTGAGCCCAGGGGTTCGAGACCAGCCTGGGCAACTTGGCAAGACCTCGTCTCGACAATAAAATAAAAAATTAGCCAGGTGTGGTGGCACGCACCTGTAGTTCCAGCTACTTGGAAGGCTGAGGCGAAAGGATTGCCTAAGCCCAGCAGGTCAAGACTGCGGTGGCCATGAGCGTGCCACTGCCCTCCAGCCTGGGTGACAGTGTGAGACTTTGACTCAAAAAAAAAAAAAAAAAAAAATCATGGAAGAAACTAACAATGACAGCACTTTCATTTTCAAAAACATTGGCACATGCATTTCCTCATTTGACCTTGAAACAAATGCCCAAGGGAGGCAAAGACAGATACCCTGATCTTTTAAATTCGGGGAAATGGTGGTTCAGGAAGGCTTAGCAATTGTCCAGGGTCGTGTAACCATGGCGAGGGGGCAGGTCAGGGCTGGAACCCAGTGTTCTGACTCTTTGTATCATTCCTTTCCAGCTCCCCTGTGTGAGTCTTTGGGTGAGATGGGGGAACAGTTGCCACTGGGGACGCAGCCCACCTAGTGGTTTATGGTCTAGGCAGGGGTCACTGAACATCTGCAGGCCAAACCCTGCCCACACCTGTGTTGTGAACACAGTATTACTGAAACACGGGACACCCAAAGGCTGATGTACTGTCTAAGGCTGCTTTCGCACTACAGTGGCTAAGGGAATCACAAACGGGGCTTTTAAGGAAGAGTTTGCGACCCTTGTTCTAGACCGTGGTGTTTGAGGTTCTCATGAAGGGAGATATTGCTGCTTAGATTGCTGCCCTGGTGCTCAGACCCTAGCAGGCATACAGACCACTCGGGATCTGCTGAAACCGCGTGGTCAGTTGGGAGTCTAGGGTAGGATAGGCAGCACAGGTAGAAAGATTGAACTTGAACTAGAGGCAGAAGACCTCAGCTTCGGAGAGTGAATAGAAGGTGGTGAGGACGGTGGTGGAGGTTTGAGAGGGCAGGAAGTGGAGGTCTTCCAACCTGGGAGCTTCTGTTTTTGTGGAGAAATCAGGGAAAGGTTATCTGGGAGTAACTGGGTGCTTGAAGACAGGAAGGAGGATTTGGGCAGATCACTGGAAGGAGTGGGAGAGGGCAGGGAAAGGGTAGACCCAGCAGAATGGGAGGTCATGAATTTTTTTTTTTATTTTAAAGATGTGGTGTACAGTTCAGGGTTAGGTACACAAATGGCCATTGTACAGGTAAAGGCTTCACTTTCATCCCCATGTCACGTGGTTTGAGATCAGGTCCCCTTATGGATGAAGCGTGCTCTCTCCTCCCCTGGCTGTACCCACTACTGTCAATCCTTTTCTTATAGTTTTATGATAAGTGTTCAGGGGTCTGCTTATGAGTGAGAGCGTGTGGTATTCAGTTCGTTTCTGTGTTAGATTACTCAGTATGATAGACTCAAGCCCATCCAAGTTGCTGCGAAGTTCATAATTTTATCCTTTATGGCTGCATAATATTCCATTGTGTGTATGTACCACATTTTTTTGATCCAGTCCAGTTTCCATGGGCAGCACAGTTGGTTCCATGTCTTTGCTTTTGTGAACAGTGCTGCAGTAAACATGAGTGTGCAGGTATCTTTTTCATAGTGATTTGAGTTCCTCTGGGTATATTACCAGAATGGGGATTGCTGGGTCATATGGAAGGTTGGTTTTTGGTCTTTTAGGAATCGCCACACTGTTTTCCATGGAGGTTGTACTAGTTTATACTCCCACCAACAGTTTAGAAGTGTTCCCTGAGGTCACGAATTTGGAGGGCTCAGTTCAGGAATAAGAATGTGGGTTGTGGATCCAGGGCTGGGCCCCTGTCAACTGTGTGACAAAGGGACAGGGATGCCCGGAGCTTGTGGCTGTGGGTGAACAGCGGTCCAAGAGGTCAGCCATGCCCCTGTCAGGGCAGGGGTGTCAGTGAGCCCAAGACTGATGAGGGTTACATGGAGACTGAGGGTCCAGGAGCTGGAGGCCTCTGCGGGTGAGTGCCAGGCGGATTTAACCTGAGAGGAGAAGGGTCAGCCGGGGAGTGTTGAGTTTAACATTTTCACATCGGGGAGAGCTGGGTAAGGAGCCTTTTGGATGGAAATGGGGAGGTCAAGGAACGATGAGGTTAGGTACAAGGTGGGCCGGTCACAGTGACAGTGAAATAACGGAGTGAGGCAGGAGGGCACAGGGTGGCGGAGACGGTTGCCACGGTTTTCAGTCAATACTGGGGTGTGAGCAGAGGTAGTTGACAGCAGTAGGCATGGGTGGGAAGAGGCTCAGCCAGGTGATACAGGTGTCAGAGAAGAGGCTCGGCCAGGTGACACGGTGTCAAGGAAGAGGCTCAGCCATGTGACACGGGCGTCAGGTAGTAGACTTGGCTGGGCATTAGGGAGGAGGCTTGGCCCCGTGATGCTTGGTCATCCGTGTGGTCATAGTGTCTGTCGTATTATTCATTTAAATCTTCAAAGGTTTTCTTACTTGGAGACAAAGGCTCTCTATATAATACCACAAGGGCGTCTGGGCTCTGGTGAGGAACCAGGGCTCAGTCGCTGTTCCTTGTGGTGTCTTCAGTCTGAGGCCTCCTCGTCTTTGAAGAGGAGAGAACTGGCACCCAGGCTCTGGGTGGAATTCAGTTTCTGCGGTCCTCAGTCACATGACTGCCCAAGCCCAGAGCGTTCCCGGGAAGGAAGGTGGGTGGTGGGTGCGCTTCTCTGGGACACGCTTCATACCACCTTTCAACATTTCTTTCCAGACAAAGGCCCGGTGACCAGCATCCTCCCATCTCAGGTCAATAATTCTCCGGTGATAAACCACCTCCTTCTGGGAAAGAAGATGAAGATGACCAACCGCGCGGCCAAGAACGCCGTCATCCACATCCCTGGCCACACAGTAGGCAGGACGTCTCCAGTCCCCCACGAAGACCTCAAGACCAAGCTCAACTCTCCCTGGCGGACTCACATCCGAGTCCACAAGAAGACCCTGCCCCGGACCAAGAGCCATCCGGGCTGCGGGGACACGGTAGGGCTGATAGAGGATCAGGGTGAGGCCAGCAGGACCCCCAGCCTGGGGGCAGCGGAGGCAGCTTCCTCAGGCTGTGTGGAGACAGCTTCCGGGGAAGGCCGCAGCTCCAACGGCAGCACCGGGAGGGCCATCGAAGGCCGGTCTCCGGAGCCAGCATTTGGGGACGCGGCCGTGGACGTGTCTGCGGTCCAGGTGAAGCTGGAAGCCTTGGAACTGAACCAGAGGGCGGCTGTGCCCGAACCCCATGAATCCCAGGGGCACGCACCTGACCAGCGGCCCCTTCCCGAGCCACCCGGTGCGCCTGGGGAAAACAGAGCCACCAGCAAACCACCCCAAGCCACCACCGCCAAAACCCCCGTCTTCAGCCCCTTCCCCAGCGTCAAGCCCCTGCGGAAGTCGGCCACCGCCAGGAACTTGGGCTTGTACGGCCCGACGGAGCGGACGCCGACCGTGCACTTTCCTCAGATGAGCCGGAGCGGCAGCAGACCCGGTGGAAACAGTGGCACCAAGCAGCGGTGATGCCGGGGCCTTGGTCTGTGGACTCACCTTTCTGGCTGCGTGGCATTGCCGGCTGGACGCGGCGCGGGATGGCTCAGCTCATCAGCGCAAAGGAAGAAACAGGCTCAGAGATGGGCGGTGGCTGTACGGTGGGACTCGGAAATTCCAGGATGGTGGCTCGCTAGGCGCGTTTCCCGTCCGTTTGGTCCCTGACAAAGTGGGTTCTTGATATTGCGGTTTAAAGGGCAAAATCTCCCCACCTTTTCATCGTGAGCTGCTTAGAAAAGATCACACTGAGACCGTTAACCCCCTCCCGTCCTGACCCGAGGGCCCTCGGGGTCCCCACGATGACGGCCCCCACACCTTCGAGTGCTCTGGGTGCAGGCACACACCAGCTTGCGGGAACAGAAACTGTCAAAAGCAAATACGTTTCTTTGTCGCAAAAAACTTCCTGATCTTCCTCTTCCTGTGACCTCCTGGGGGGACTGTTTGTGTCGTGTGGGGTTCCCTTAGTGCCAGTCTCAAAATGTTTCTTTACTCTTATGCTCAAACGTAGGAGAAACGTCTAGCTAGCCTTTAGCTTTCTGTTTCTACTTGCGACACGAAGAGAACCTTTGTTGAAATCTGCGTTGACAGCCATATGAGCGTTGCACCTGTGGGATGTGCTTTCCGTTCCTGCCACCGAGCTTTCCCGGGGTTCACTCCCTCCTGTCAGGAGCGTCGGGTCCTTGGTGGGCCGGGGCCTCCTGGGGCTCCAGGTGGAGTGCAACCTGGCCCCGCCCTGCAGCACACCAGCCCACCTGCACTCAAGGCAGATGGACAAGGCGCCCGCTTCTTGAGCCTTGGGATTTTCTGATGGACGTCCTCTGTCGAACCCTCGGTCTCTTGAACACTGCCTTTCTCCCGAGAAGGTCCCAGGGCTGTCTGGCTCTCTCTCTCGCCCACCCCTGCCCTGGTCCTGCCGGGTCAGGGAGAGCACCGCTTGTCTCCATGATGCAGACGGTGGCGCTGAGCCACCCAGAGGCAAAGCAGCCTTGGGAATGTGAGGCGCTGAGCTCCCAGCACCCCGGGTGATCTTGGCCAGTGTCTTCAGGGCAGCAGGTGGGCGCGTGAAGTGCTCTTCGCATGAGATGGCCACACGCTCCGCTCCTTCCCTACTCCAAGGACCTTCCCCACGTGGAGGCGAGTCCTATGATGGCACTTCACAAAACCAGCTCCAACTTGCTTATCCTGGGAAAGTAGTTTTTTTAAAAGTCAGGGTCTGTGTCAGTGCAGTGGCATGATCCTGGCCTACGTTAGCCTCGACTTCCTGGGCTCAGGTGATCCTTCTGCCTCAGCCTCCCAACCAGCTGGGACTACAAGCATGGGCCACGACTCCCGGCTAATTTTTTTTACTTTTTTTGTAGAGACAAGGTCTCTCTTTGTTGCCAAGGCTGGCCTCAAACTCCTGGACTCAAGCAATCCTCCCCCCTTCAGCCTCCCAAAGTGCTGGGATTTACAGGCATGAGCCACCACATCCGGCTGGTCGTTCACTTTGTATATGCTTCACGCACCTGTCCCTCCTCTGTCCCCTTTCCCACCATCGTTAGAAGAATAGACCAAGCGTCTCTGTCTCTGGAAGATGGCGCTTGCAGGACTGTTGTTGGTGCGGTCAGTATTCATTTGAACTAATTGGGTCACTGATTCTGAAACCAAAGCTGTAATTTTAGAGAGGGCTTTTACTATGAGAGGTACTAATTTTTATCAGAAAATTGAGAATGCAGTTGTGTGGGCTTCTCTGAACAAAAAACACAAGAATGACGCAGCAAGGAAAGCTATTTTATCCCCGGCTGTGGTATTTTTACCCCCAGAAGAACTGAAGATGGAAAGCTTGACTCATGTGTGATTGCAGCTTTGGTCCTGAGCTCTGTGCCTTCTGATGTTGGCACGCAGCTTTGTAAAAAGCAGCTCCCCCCGTGACCAGCCTGTTTTTTGGAAAGGGTGTGGGTGGGAGATGGCTTATTTTGCCGACCACCCCCAGGGCCCAGAGACCCACCGCGTCTTCCAAAGTTAAGCAAAGGACACGATTTTCTTCCATCTGCTGAGCTTTGCAGACAAGGATGATTCTACCTCCTTTTCTTCTTCCCTTTCCCAAATGTGTCAGAATAGCCATGTTCCCCCGAGGGATGTCTGGCTGGAAAAGAGCATTATTCCTTCTCCTGAACCAGCTCACCAGGTCCTGGATGTTCTGGGCTCAAGGAGACTGTAGCGAGGCAGAAGCCATGGCCAGGTGTCCTTGGGGTGCAAGGTGGCCATCCACCACCCATGTCGGCATCAGCAGCATGTGCTGTGTCCGTGAACACTCACTTGTCATCCATTCCCCAGGGCTGGTGTTCCAGGAAGGGGGCGGCTGACATGGCCCATGGTTTGGGATACGCATTTGCGGAATGAAGGGTTCATAGTCCTTGAAGGTAGAAATGACGGTGTTTGTCAGAATCTTGAAACCCTAGCACCTTACCACTCAGTACTCTCTGCACCAAGTCCCTGCATGCATCGTACTGAGTGATCACCACATGGACTGGTCAATTTCCGAGCCTCGCCTACTTAGGAGACTAGGGCAGTCTGCAGTGGCCTGTGCCGCCCAGCATGTACAGAGACCCATAGGGACCTGCCGTCCCCCATGCCTCGGACGCTGGATGCAAACACAAGCACTTCACTCACAGCGTGTCTTGAGTCCTTGATCTGTCCGTAGCCTCTCAGCGCCTTAGCCAGGAGCTGCCTCGTTCCGATGCCTCCACCCCTCCGTCCTTGAACACAAGCCTCTGAGAGGCCTCACCCGGGTTTGTGACATCGACCTACGGGCTGTAGCTGTCTGGATGGCTGTATTCCTTTTCTTGTTTCTTGTTCTGAAGGACTGTATTGATTATAAAGATATATGCATAAAGATCTCCTTGTTGTCGCTGCTGTTTTCTATCTGAGCGTGTGCGCATGAGGGGGACCCCCAAAGCCCTGGAATTTGTTCATAAAAGACAGTGTTTATTCCCCACGTTTAAACTTCTGTCACCTTCAGAGTCCTCTCTGTTGGAGGCAATACATCCGTAGAGATGCTTCTTCCATCGCTCAAAACAGTTTTGGTCTCGTCCATTTTGATGCCTTTTAGTACTTCTGCCGGTTTTTGTTTCACCTCTCCCACATCAGCCAAGCATTTCCCTTGGAGGACTTTTTCCATCCAGGGAAACAGAAAAAAGTCACTGGGGCGAGACCAGATAAACAGGGAGGATGGGGCCCGGGGTTCACAAAAGATCAAAACTGTTGAACACTCAGTGCGGTGGGCAGGTGCACTCACAAATCACCCATCATGAAATGGGCAAAGGGGCCGAAAGAATCTCCCCCCAAAATTCATGGAAGCTGAACACAGCCTCTCCCAATAACACTAGCTGGTCCGCGGATGTCGATGGGTTCCTGGAACCCTCACCTAGAAGGGGAAGCCTGTAGTGCAAGGGGCCCACCCCCAAAGGTTAATTCCATTTCGGGGTGTCCCCTCTCATATGTCACTACCGTGCCTTTCCCCTTCCCCTTCTCTTTCGCTTCACCCCACCACCCCCACTCCTCAAGCTACTGGCCACGTGAACAAGGGAAACAGCCCAATAAACCCCATCTCCCCCGTCTAATCCCTGGATTGCAGGGTGGATACGACCTGCCCAGAACCCACAGAAGAGCGTTGCTGAGTGTGAGTAAGCAGAGGGTCCATGCAGGACTGCGCGTGTGGCTGTGTGCATATCAAAGGAACCTTCAGGTCTACCGTCTTCCTTTGTCTTAATAAAATAGAAAAATAGGAATACAGTTTAGGACTGGGCACTGTGGCTCATGCCTATAATCCCAGCCCCTTTGGGAGGCTGAGAGGGGAGGAGTGCTTGAGGCTGGAAGTTTGAGACCAGCCTGAGCAGCATAACAATACCCTGGCTCTACAAAATAAATAAATAAATAAGCAGGTGCAGTGGTACCTGTCGTCCCAGCTACTTGGGAGGCTGTGGTAGGAGCCCAGGAGGTTGAGGCTGCAGTGGACTAGGTACCACTGCGCTCCAACCTGGGGGACAGAGTGAGAGCCTGTCTCTTCAAATACTACTTAGCTTCACGGTCTTAAGGATTCTAGGCAAACAGAGAGCTGTGACGAATATGTTATTCATCTCCCTGGATGAAATCTCTATGTGGCTCTGGGAGTCTCTTGCTACAGCAGTCTTGTGAGGCAGCATTTGCAATGTATCATTTCTCCTACTTAGAAAAGTAACACGTTTTAGAAAATTTGGAGACCGTAAAGAGCACAAAGAGCCATCGGTGTTCTAGCACAGATCTTTCCAACACGTGTGGGCGTGGGCACACACGCCATCACCCAGAGAGGGCTGCCGATGGCGCTGGTGGAAGCCGTGTTTCCAACAACTGCCCTCCTACAGGGCCACGTCTCGTGACTCGTATTCCACCACGTGTCCATGCCAGAAGCCACACCCCCAGTGCCCTGTTGGCAAGCAAGGGGCGTCTGACTAGCGAGTAGCAGAGAGCGCATCCTAGTACTTGTCAGAGCCTTGATCGTTTTCATAGGAGAGATTCACAGAGGTGGAGTTGCAGGGTCAGAAAAGAGGCCAGACTCGGTGACTCAATCTGTCACCCCAGCACTTTGGGAGGCTGAGGTGAAGGGATTGCCTGAGCCTGTGGGTTTGAGACCAGCCTGGACAACTTGGCAAGACCTCATCTCTACGATATATGAAAAGTTAACCGGGCATGGTAGCGCATGCCTATAGTTCTAGCTACTTGGAAGGCTGAGGCAGAAGGATCGTTGGAGCCCAGCAGGTTGACGCTGGGGTGGTCGTGAGTGTGCCACTGCACTCTAACCTGGGCAATGGAGTGAAACTACAACTCAAAAAAAAGAAAAAGAAAACAAAATAGGCCCATTTTAAAGCCATGTATCTCCAGATTGCCATCCTTGAAGGCTGAGCTTGTTATGCCGGCAGTGAATGAGAATGACCGGTACTCTAAACCCCGGAAGAGTCAGCAGTGATGGACACACTTATCTATCATTTCTGCCTTTTTTTTTCTTTTTAGAGACAAGGTCTTTCTCTGTCACCCAGGCTGGAGGACAGCGGCACGGTCATGACTCACTGCAGCCTCCAACTCCTGGCTTCAAGTGATCGCTCTGCCTCAGCCTCCTGAGTAGCTGGGGCAACAGGTGCCACCACCACACCTGGCTAATTTTAAAAAATTTTTTGTAGAGATGCATTCTTACTGTGTGGTCCAGGCTAGTCTTGAACTCCTGGCCTCAAGCAATCCCCCTACCTCAGCCTCCCAAAGTGCTGGGATTATAGGCATGAGCCACCATGCCTGACTGATACTGACTTTTTTTTTTAGTCAGAGTCTCACTCCGTCACCCAGTGGCACACTCACAGCCAAGTATCTAGAACTATAGGTGTGCACTACCATACCCGGCTAATTTTTTTTTAATCTATTGTAGAGATGCGGTCTCACCAAGTTGCCCAGGCTGGTCGCAAACCCGTGGGCTCAGGCAATCCTTGTTTTGGCCTGCCAAAGTGCTGGAATTACAGGCTTGAGCCACCGTGCCCAACCATTACTGACTTTTTTTTATTTTTGAGTTGGAGTCTCACTCAGTCACCCAGATTGGAGTGCAGTGGCCGCTCCCGGCTACCGCAGCCTTGACCTGCTGGGCTCCAGCGATCCTTCTGTCTCAGCCTTCCAAGTAGCTGGAACTACAGGCGTGCACTACCACGCCCAGCTAATTTTTTGATTTATTGTAGAGATGAGGTCTTGCCAAGTTGCCCAGGCGGGTCTCGAACCCACAGCTCAGGCAGTCCACTCACCTCAGCCTCCCAAAGCACGGGATTACAGGCTGAGCCACCGAAATCAGCCATTACTGACTTTTAAGAGAACTGTTAAGATGTTTGCTGAAGCTCCTGGTAGGTACCTTTTATTAAGTTAAGAAAATTACCTTTTTTTTCTTTGCTTGCTAAGAGGTTTTTTTGTTCATTATGGGTATTGAATTTTATCAAATGAACTTAATTTGTGTCCATTGAGAAGGGAGTGGTGCTTGAGATTTGGTATCTTGAACTCAAGAAAATAGTCTTCCTTTTACTTATCTCATTTTCCTTTCAGGAGGCATACATATTAAAAAATTAATTAATTAAAAAAAGAAAACAGTCGTTATCAGGTTGCATCGAAGAACACTATATATTTTAGAGCCAGAAGTGACGCTGTAAAAGTTTTATGTACAGAATGTTGGTTGCAGTAGTCTATTTGCTCATGGAAATTTGGAAACAATGTAA